ATCTATTCTAATATAATATAACTGTAACTCCTACAACAACCATTAAACATTATTGAACTGTCCATAGATGTTAAGCACTCAAAGTCCATAGCCCTTGTGATAAATAAAGAGTCCTTTTAAAAGTCCTTTCAATATTTATCATATGTTTCCTTCCATCGGTGAAAGTCCGCTCTTCTTTGATCCTCCACAGTTCTCCCCCCTTTGAACTTTTCTTCTCTCTCCTCTGGCTGCCACCTTCGACCTTGGAAGTCCCTTATCTCTTTGCTGGAATTTCTCTGCAGTGGTTTCTGTCCAAGCAGTCCGTCTTTTAAACTTTTTTTTCTTCACTCTCTTACAAGACAGAAAGGAGGCTTCAGTGCCACACCTGCCCCCCCCGACCCAAGCCAGGGGAGGAGAGGGCCTTGGCCCTCTCCGGACCCACCACCTCTCTCCTACATGGCTGCCGCTCCTAATTTTAACTGCACAACGAACCTTCTCTTCCGTTTTCTTAAAGATGTAATTAGCAAGGCGTCACTGAACTTTTTGATTGGTTTTTTGTCTGGAAATCACCTGGACAAAACCATCCTCAGCCCCAGGGATGGGCTGGTGGGCAAAATCACAACAGGGCTAAAACCCATTGCTGGTTTGAGGCTCCATTTTGAAATGTTACAACTGGTTACCATGGACTTCTCTCCTAGGAGCAAAAGTACAGTTACCATTGGACAGCTTACAGTGTCGTATCTGTCCCAACCAATCATTGTTCGTACCCTGCTGCTGTTGTACCTCCTAATGTTTATTCATTTACCTTTGACCTATCCCATGTCCAAGTTTTGCATATCCCTCCTACCTTCTGGCACCTTCCCCAACCTACCCTATAAAAATCCACCATTTTGTTCAATAAACAGATCAGCCTTGGGCATAGCCCTGGTAAGATCTACAGCCCTGTTCAAGAACCCTGCTGGTCTCGTGTCTTATTCCCGGCTCATGTCAGGAGACTGGACATCTCCCTTATGAGGAAAGGCTGAGGGATCTAGGCCTGTTCAGCCTCAAGAAGAGACAAGTGAGAAGGGACCTCGTCACTGTATTATAAGTGTTGTGGTTTAGGAATGGTGTTCTCCAATTTAGTACTCCTGCAAAAACTGTGCATTGCTTCTCCTCCAACTGGAGGCACAAAGGCAAAGATCACAGGTTGAGGTAAGAATACCTTACTGGAAACAGCGATGAGATAAGAAAACAAACAGTAACAGCAACAATATTAATAACAGAAGGTGTAAGAGAAAGAAACATTTTATATGGAAAGTCCCCAGCAGTAAACAATACCAGATGGCTTCCCCCGCTGTTTTCTCAACCAGAAGGAACTTTCTTCTCCGAAGAGAGAGTCTCTTTTCCCTGCCTCTGGCAATGATTTGAGGTGGTATAGAATAACCTCTGTGTCCTAGTCATGCCCTCTCCCAGCTGTTGCAGAAATTAACCCTGTCCTGGCTGAAACCAGGGCAATAATTACCCAAAGGGAGAGTGCCAAAAGGATGCATCCAGGCTCTCCTTGGTGGTGCAGAGCAATTGCACAAGAGGCAACAGGCAGAAACTGGAGCACAGGAAGTTCCATTGAACATAACAAAGAACTTTACAGCGTGAGTGACTGAGCCCTGGAACAGATTGCCCAGGGAGGTTGTGGAGTCTCCCTCACTGGAGATACTCAGGAACTATCTGGATGAAATCCTGTGCAATGTGCAGATGACCCTGCTTGTGTAGGAAGTCTTGACCAGATGACCTACTGTGGTGCCTTCCAACTTTACCCATTCTGTGATTCTGAAGATGACCCTGCTCATTTCAGGTTTATTCAACTAAATGTCCTTTAAAGGTCACTTCCAACCAAAACCAATCTATGATTCTATGAAAACATATGACATGAGATGTGAAAGTGGGACAGCTGGGATGGTGCAGGAAATAAGACTGACTGACTTACACTGAAGAGATGTAGTAAACTCATTTGAAAACTGTAGTATAGCAGAGTATCATAGAAACATTAAGGAAGGACCTCTGAAGGTCCTTCCTCTGAAGAACCACTACTCAAGTGTAACCCCAAACACCAGATCAGGCAAGTGACTGCTAACTAAAAAAATCCCCTTACAGAAGGATTCCTGTATTTCTCAGGAAGACAAGAAAACGTTGGCTTTAAGGAAATTAATAATTTTGCCTCTCAGAACATCATTTGTAATAATGGAATAACTCTTCAGTATGAAAGAACAACCTGGATAAGAAACAAATTTCCAGTGATTTCCATAGCGTGTCACAGTTTGTCAGCTGTATTACTCTGCAGACACTAGTGTTAGCATTGGAGTTTTACAGGACTTAGACCTGATGTTCCTACATAACTGGCTTGTAATCTATGGCACAGGCAGTATCTTTCAAAGAGTGTTGCGCGTTTGCCAACCAGCTCCCCTGGGGCTGAAAATAGTTTTTCCAGGTGGATTTTTGGAGCAAAGCCAATCAAAAGTTTTAGTAATGCCTCTGCCAATTACACATTTAAGAGAATGGAAGAGAAGCTGTGGGGGCAGAAGAGATAAGAGCCACGAGGTAGAAGAACAAATGAGGGAGCCAGCGTAGCAGCCGGCCCTGTTGGGTCCAAGCATGTGCTCCCCACTCCGGGCCAAGTCTGGCCCGACCAAGGGGGGCCAGGCCCCTTCTATCCTGCAACAGAGTAGAGAAAAAACTCTAGAGAAAACCTGCTTGGACGAGATGTGTTGCAGAAGGAATTCCAGGCAGAGAGACAGTGCAGCCTCCAAGGTCAAAGCTGGCAGCTGGAGGAGAGAGAAGAGAGGCCCAAGGCGGGAGCGGGGGGGGAGGTGGTTGGGACACGGGACTCCTTCTCTCTCCCTTTTCTCTCCCTTCAGCAGGGAAAAGACTGAAAACTAAAAACCCTGCCATCTGTGGAAGATTACTGAATGAGATTGCAGCTCATGAAGGAGTCTGTGCTGAAGCAGCTGAATGCATGTGAGTGCACGAGAAGGTTGTGACTCTGTAAAAACCTAAGATGGAACAGAGTCCTGCTGGAGACTGGAGACCTGTGGCCCATGGAGAGAGAGACCTATGCTGGAGCAAGTCATCCCGGGTAGGGCTTGTGATCCCAGTGAGGGAACCATGCTGGTGCAGCTGAATTTGTGACCCTAAGGGACAGCAGAGAATGGAAGAAGTTGCCCAAAGGTGGACTCACATCAAGGACTGTCTCTCATGAGGAGGGACCCTACAAGAAACAGGGGTGGACTCAAAAGCCATTACCCCCTGTAATTGTGGTGAAGACCATGATCAGGCAAGTGACCTCTTGCAGTCCATGGAGGACCCCACAGGGCCCAGGTAATCCCCAGCCTCCAGTCTTAGCCCAGGAGGGGGTAGGCCCAGCCTTGAGGTCGACATAGGAGACAGACAGAGAGAGAGAGACAGTTCCAACTGCGATGAACCGGAGCTGTCATCCTAGAGATAACAGAAGAGGAACTTTCAAGTGCTGCGAAATTATTTAGAAGACCTGTAGTTCTGGAAATGGAAAAGAGAGTGCTTCTCCTCCTAAACTGATACAAGGGGGGAGGGGTATTTCTTTAATTACATAGCACTTTGACCTAGTTATAATTGTTGTATATATAGTTCTTTAGTTATTATTTTGCTAGTAATAAATCCTAATATTATTCTCCCCATATCAGATCTCTTTCATCTGCATAAACCCTCTCTGAACTTACTGCAATTGTGTGTGGGGGAAAGAGAAAATTGGCCCAAAGTAAACACGAGACAAAGAGTTAACAGGGACAATTTAATATCATCTTTAGCTTGATTTGGTCCCCTAGTCCCCTCCAAAAAGAGAAGTTTTATAAAAGAAGCTTTATAAATCCTTCAAACAATATCAAAAGGGAAGTAGGAAGGAAGGGGGGAGAATGGATCTTGGTTGGATAGAATCAGTACTGTGCTATGGCAAAGGAATTTTCTCCCCACAAAAGGAACAGATTACTGCAGAATACTTGCCCCTTCCTGTTGACTTGCTTCAGTATTATGAGACATCTTACAAAAAAAGGTCCATCTGATGAAAAAATCACTGTAAAAAAGAATGAAGGAATATGTGTAAGTTATAATACTTCATCAGTAGTGATTCTTCATGAATCCTTTGAAATCAAGCTCTGAGTATTCATAAATTGGATTTTGCTAGCTTATTCCTCTTTCCACAAAGGCAACTGTCAGTCACAAGTTGAGACAGCATAAAAAGTTCAAGAGAACTCACACTTGCTCCAAATTTTCTAACCTTAACTGCTTAAAATAATAATCTGTCATTACACACCTAAATAAAATTGTTTTTCAGTGGTGTTACACCTAGGGATATTGGAGACAACTAGACTTGCTGGATTCAGTCTCTGAAAATTGGTGAAATACAGGCAAACTCAGACCATGTGGATTTTGTGTATTTATTAACTGTTTTATCCAGGGTAAAAGGTTTATGAGAATGTTTGGAAAAGGTTGCCAAACTTTGATCTTAAGCAAAATCTGGTCTCATGCACCTGCAAAGGATCGCCCCTGAGCAGAACCCTGCAGCCCAACTATTTGCCTTTGCCCAGGCAAGGTGCAGCTATCCTTCAAAGCCAGTCTGGGAGCTAGTCCATGGGGCTGCAGCAGATAACCTAGTCAGAGTGAGGATTTGGGGAACTCCACTCACAAGGGGACAGAGGAAGACAAGAACCAGTGACAAGAAGCTATGTAAATTTGACAGCCCAGAAACCTGCTGCACCAAGACAGATACTGCAGTCAGAGTGGTTGTTACAGACCAAGCCCAAATAGTGGTCTTCTACAGGAAACTATTCTGACTCAAACCAAAATTTTCTTAAAACTGAGCTTTGTTTCAATATTTTTATAATAGAAAAGAAATATAATAGAGAGATGAAGCTGTTGACAGCACTGAAATTTTCCAGGATGGAGGCTCAGAGAAGGAAAAAATATGATGAGAAACTAATTTTCTGTCACAAAAGCAAGTGGACAGGGAAGGTTTCAGACATTCACTGTATTTCTTGAAGGCCTCTTTCAGTTATTGAAATACCAAACACTCAAACATTGTCATGGGAGGGTGCCAAGAAGCTGCAGGGAATGCCACTTCAGCCTGAAATTAGATAAAATACTTACGAAGTTAAAGAGAACAATTTTATTTATAAGTCTCTCTATAGTTTCCATCTCTAGCTCTTCCTTGCTTAGTTTTGGTTTTCAGAATTTAAAGAGACTATTCTCATATTTTCTACTACTCGCTGTGGTATGATTTCTTAATTTGCATGAATAAATCCTGACCCAGTATGGAGCCCATGACTGACTTAAGCAGCAGACAAGCTCACTCTGTTTATAAGAAGCTTTTTAGTTCAAACAGCTCAACTGATTGCAATGATGCCTACTAATTGCAAATATCAGAGTGCTGCCATAGGAAAGGGGTAGAGCCTGAGTATTGTGGGAACTACAGCCAGTACACCAGGCCTTGCAGTATTCCAACTCAAAAATGACAACAGATGAAATACTGCAAGGAGAAAAAAATCACTACTGAAAGGAAGTATTCCATCTTCCATGTCCAACAGAGACAACAGTCCTGGCCTCCACTGTTCAAGTCTCAAGGGCACTGGCAAATCTCCTGCAAACTACTGAATGTTGTATACAATGATTGGTTAAGGGCACTCAAATGGCTGGCTTACATTTCTAACTGGCTGTTTGCATACTCAAAATATAACTTGCATATGATGTCAGACAAGATGCATGTGCAAACTCAGCATCACCTATGTGTGTGCAGCACTTACAAAGTTACAAAGCTTTGAAGCTGCATCTCAAGGAACAGCAAGGGCTGCTGCAGGCAAGCAAGGAGCCAAGGGCAACCCTTGCATAACACACACCTTCGTCCATGGGGCCCAGTCCCACAGAGGCTGTGCACATCATGCAGGACTAGGTTTAGTGACAGGGTCCTTCAACAGTCCTAGATACAACAGGGAGCTCAGTCAGGAGCAAAAGAGATGATACCACACATAAAACTGAAAGCAAAGCTGCAACACAGGTCCAAACTCCATCCTGACAGCACGATCAAAGGCAGGACCAGAGACAAGCTATGGTATATACCTGGGATCCACCTAGGAAACACACTAACCACACTCATGTCCAAGACCCATGCCAGAGTGAGCTGGAAATAGGGACATTGCTAACTCAGCTCAGGCACAGACTGAGCCCAGGCTGAGCCCAAATGGGACTCCCACACCTTGGGACATGGAGCAAGGGACGTAATGGAGGCTCAGACAAGGCTCCCCTCAGGGCCATTAGCACATACTGGAACCCTCGGGTCCCAGGCATTAGAGCCTGCCCCTTCTTTGTGCTTATATGGAACTTCAAAAGGACATTAAATTTTGTCCTATCAACCTAAAAAAAAAAAAAAAAAAAAGGCCTGTTTTCCTGGCATTTTCCATATACCAAAAAGCTCCACCTCAAAGTCAGGTTTCTATAGCAAGAAAAGTGAGAAGAACTCAAAATATTTTTGCTGTTGTTAATCTGTGTTAGACCACAGTTCTGGCAGCTGCAGAATATGTTTTAAACAAAGGGGTATGAGGCATTAAGTAATAGTGGTATCATTTTTTCATAAACTGAAACTGTTTGGTTGAAAAAAATTCAAATGTAGATGTGTGACTGTCTTGATCTATTGTTCCACCACAGCAAAGGGCAGTCAGCCACCAAGAAGCAGATGGATTAGAACAGGAATTAATTCCTTAATGCCAAACCAGATAAATGTCTTAAACAGCAAGGTACCTCACATCCTTTATGTGGAAACACAATGCTCACAATTCATTGTCAGAACAATAAGTTCTTAACTTCTTGGATGAGAACATATAAAGGATTTTCTTAGAAAAAAAGGGCATCGGGACAAGGGAGGAGCTGCTCAGAGAAAGGCTTAAGGTTGGAGCTCAATAGTTCTGAAGTGTGTCTTGAGGACAGACTAGGTTTCATCCGCACACTTGGCCTCCTGAGATATATGTTTATTCATTTTATTGTCTAGAGAGGAGCTATGCTTTTAATCTTGCTTTGTTGCCTGTATAGGCAATTTTGTTTAATTGGTATTGTGTTTTTGATAACTGTGCTGCTTTGGGGAGTAGTCTTAGTTTTATGCACATAATTTTCAGCACCTTCTGCAGTTACCGAGTACACACAACCTTTCTCTTTATTCCTCTTTCCGCAGTTTTCTTTCTTCACATACTTGTGTAGTTACATGACAGCTACACCATTTTTATCCCTTTTTTTTTAGCTCCAAGCAAAGTATCTTTTGTCCAAACAAAGTATTGATGAGGAGTGCGTGTTTGGGGGGTGGTGTTTGTTTGTTTATTTGTTTGTGGGTTTGGGTTTTTTTTTGTTTTTTTGTTTGGGGTCTGGGTTTTTTGTCCTGCATTTTGAGTGTTTTCACATAAGGTTATTTCAGAGGGTCAACCTGCAGCTTGATATCCCATGGAGCTGATAGTAAAAATAAACATTTAATTACTTCTGATTTTGCTGCCCCTGCATGTTTCCTTATCTAAATTATTCAAACACAGAAGATAGCATTATCAAGTGTTAATTATTGGAAGAGCAGTACAGGGACCATCAGGCTGACTTGAAGAGCCAAACAGTCATTTGCATACACAAATAACTTTGAATGACAGATATATATTTCTATTCTTGACTTAATGGTCATGTTTGAACTATGGTTTGTTTTTAACATGCACATCTTAGCACGTATAAGAAAAGAAGCTTGCAATCTTAAGAGAACAAAATTTTCTTATTAAATCTTCATTGCAAGACAATGTTGTCAAACTGTAAATGTTCTCCCTATCACCTATTTCAAGGAAATAATTTAATCTGTCTAATTTCTAAAACACAAACTAGGAGACAGGCTCCCAGTGCCCTATTTGTGTTCTCTGGCTCCCCCCCTCCATGCATACTACAGATCTTCAGTTGTAAACAGATGATATCCTCTCCAGTGTCAGTACATATTTATTCTGTTTTCTTTTGAGGTATCTAAATGCATTCTTAATCCCAAACTCCTTATCTATCAATAACAAGGGAATCTAGGTTCATCTCTTCCAGCTTGCTTACATCCTTGAATAAAATTTACACATTATTGTACACTACAACATGGCATTTATTAAAATTGAGTAAATTGATTAAACATATTGATCATCCCTCCAGGTCTAATCAAATACCCCCTCTTCAAAATTCATGGTTTTATGACTCAGCTTCAAGTCTAAGCAAACACACACAACACGGAGTTTCTGAATTCTTTGTGTCCTGCAGCTAATGGAAGCTCAAGTGTTATCTGCTATGCTTAAAATCGTGAATAAATTTCCACAGCTCAACCTCCTCTCACTAAGTTTGCATAATTACTTTTCCAATAAGTCACTCTAAAACACTGCTAAAGAAAACTGTATTACGTTGTTATTTATGGACGTCATAAGTACATGAGGCTTTGCTGTAGACAGAGAAGGTAAATACAATAAGCTTTTCCCTTCAATTTAAGGATAAACCTTGCATAATGCAGTCTCCCTAATAAAAGGGCAGATGTCGTGGTTTTGTTCTGGGTCAATTTGCTCTCACACCCCCCACAGAATTACTGTAAGTCGAGAGAAGGTTTATGCAGACAAAAGAGACCTGAATTTGCGAAAATAATATTAACATTTATTACTAACAAGCTAAAACTAAAGAACTATATCTACAACAATTCTACTTAAGTAAAAGTACTATGTATTTACAGAAATATTTCTTCCCCCTTTATATCAGTCTAAGGAGGAGAAGCAGTTTTTTTCTCCATTCTCGGAGCTCCAGGTCTTTTCAATAACTCTGCAGCACTCTCATTGCAGCTGGAACTCTTTCTCTCTTGCTCTGTGCTAGCCTCCAGGGCTGGGCCTACCCCCCTCCTGGGCTAAGACCGGAGGCTGGGGGTTACCCAGGCCCTGAAGGTTTTTTCTTCCATAGTCTTGCAAGGGGACACTTGCCTACCATGGATGTTCTTCCACAGGGTTACAGGGGATAATGGCTTATGAGTCCATCTCTGTTTTCTGTAGAGTTCCCTCCCCACGGGAGAACAGTCCTTGATAGACCTCTCCGACATGGGTCTAGCATGGATCCCACACATGGATCCCAACGTCCCTACCTGAGCCGTTTTTTACTCCAGCGTAGGTTCCCTCAGGGT